AAAAAAAAGACGCTATAGCGCGTCAAGACGATGTAGCACATCTGATTGACAACTAAACCCTTACATCAAATTAAAGCTTACAGCGCTGGCTATCAAATTACACTAAGACTTTTAAGATAAAAAAAAATTGGAATTTTCTAGGGCTTGTATGTGCGAACATTAACGTCCAAGTCACCTTTAAACCGGACGCCCTGCATCACTAGACGCGAGACGGTAACCTTGTAAAGCGCAGGCAATGAAAACTTTTGCCATAAATTGAGCGGAGGCAGAGATTTTGAAGCTGTCAATTTTTGCGCGGATTGAGGACTCTGTCAATACAAGGCTCGGGTCATTGATCTTTCGCCAGCCTTAGTCGGTATGTTGGTGTTTTTTCATCCAATTTGTTTCGTTTTGGAACGTACAACACTCGTTCGTATAAACCAAACCCTAACCCTGACCCTATGTAACACCAAAACAACTCCAAAACCATGTAGGCTGATATGACGTAGTGCCCCACCCCTCGAACTGCATACTGTTGCAGTGAAACTACACAAGCAGGACAAGTAGTGTAAGTTTCAAGCAATGTGGTTCCGGATTTGAACGAAAACATTGGCGGATCGACGAATATGGCGAAAAAAAGAGCACATTGCAGCTTTATGTACCCTCATTCAACCCTTTTCCAAAAAAAAAAAAAACTACAAAAAATGGTTACTTTGATGGATTTTCTACATTCACTTTGCTTTCACCTTCAAAATTCGTTCCGATGCAAAGCTCTAACCAAAACTTCTTGATCTGCGGCCCGAAGAAAAGTAGAGCTTATTAGTTGAACCCATGGTACTTTTAAAGCCTAAAGTGTAGTTTAGTGTAAGTGCTTATTAGTTAAAATAAAATATGGTAGAAGCAGAAACAAACACAGCATCAAATCAATCGTTTTATTTCTGCTTGTTGATAACTTTCAACAGGGAAAAAAACAGTACATCATAGGTAGGGTGTATAGCAGACTTCAATTGCTTCCCAGTTTTTCTTCAAACTCCAAGATTACAGGCATATCTATAGGAATATAAAATTGAAAATTAGTTACTATAACTACTCTAACAAACGTCTTTGCAGGAACCGAATGGCATAAAAAGGTGTTGCAGCGTTCTAACAACTGAACAACCACGTGCACAGTTATACACAGAGTAGAAAACACTAAGAGACTTTCCCTTTCTTATTATAAGCCAAAGCCATGAGAGCATCAACACAAGAGTGTATTTTGAATGCGGTACACACGGGACGTACACCTGATTGAATAAAGGCTTGTTGAGAAAAAAAATAAAACTGACTGATACGACCCAGTGGTTTTCTGGACCATGTATGTTTTTGCATTCTAAGAGGTTTGGCCGAAGCGTTTAGCGAGATAAGCATTCGTTGAATGCCCCAGCCGTATTCGGAAGCTTGCAGAAAGAAATAAACAGACCCTGCTGACATTTTGTAGATGTACTATCGCTTTATTTTTGTTACTATTGGTTTTCTTAGCTGTGACAACTCTGAAATGAATATAATTCGTGTAGTCTAGAGTGGGCTGACAGAATACAATATTCGAAGATTGGTGCTTAGGCTATCCATCTGTTTGTGTCGCACCACCCTATTAAACGTACGTTATCTGAGCTGTTTGCTTGATTGTTTTTCTTTTTTGTTTTAGTTTGTTTGTTTCTTCTTGTTTTGTTTTGTTCTGTCTTGTTTGTTTCTTCTTATCTTGTTTTGTTTTGTTTGTTTGGTTTTTGTTTTCTTACCATGCAGGAAGGTCCGTTACGCGATAAACGGCATTAACACGTTCCCTGCCGACCCCTTTATAACATCTTGAGGATGGCCCATCTCTTGCATACGTTTCGCCTGCGTTAGGTCCACTCCAACACTGGCCGTAAAACTGCAGCGCGAAATACTCCATTCTATCATCACAAACACAATCAAAGAAAATGTAAGGTTTCTTTGTAAATTAACTGCAATGCCTTATTGTGAAAGACCACAATTAAAAAAGTCTCCAAAACCAATGGAGAGGCAAACTCTTGCCTGCGAATGCTGAGGGATACGAAAAAACAATATCGAAACCTTTAGTTTCACTATGAACAAATACTGACGGGTATAGCCAACACACTTTGGCTTCCTTGTCAAAAAGATCAACATTAAAACTTTTACATTGATTTCAATTGAAAAAACAAAACAGAAAAAACCGGGAAGCCTTGTTACACCCCGTGAAATCGAAAAAGGTCATCTCTGGCAATCAGCATAAACGAATCTCGCCTAGAGAACAGTAGTTCGTTTGTCAAATTAAAAATAGCTTCACAATGTGTGCATGTGGTTACTGGTAACAAAGGAATGCCGAACTTTCTCATGATTGCTCTTAGGAATAAAATGTCCACATATATTAAGTTGATGTATAGAGCCAGCAGAGTTTTCAGCTTGTAAATTACATAGTTCGATCATTGGAAGCAATTTTTGAATAGAGGGAAAGACGATCGGATTGATCCTGAAACCTTCGCTTTAGATGTCTCATGTCATGGATTTAGCATACGGCTAGACTGATGCTTCATTTGGTGAGCGTGATCGGCGACTAATTAAATGGAGTTTTGACAAAATTAATTTGAATACTGGGTACGACACGCATTAGTTGAGTCACTGGGTTATTTTTTCAATACGAATAAATATATCTACAGTTTTCAGTCGAAGAAATTTAACTTTACAGCCTCCTAGCCTAGATAACAGTTTCAATACGAATAAATGTATCTACAGTTTTCAGTCGAAGAAATTTAACTTTACAGCCTCCTAGCCTAGATAACAGTGGATTGATGAGACCCTGCTGCTGTGCAATTTAGTATAAATTATTAAAGCCACACACATACAGGGGGAGGGGCAGATCTAACAGTGCCAGCGAGGATATTTATATGGGTAACAACACCGCAACCTCCCCTCCCCCCCCCCTTTTGCTGGGTAGATGCAGGAAACAGAAACAAAACACTGATTATGGTGGCAATCTCCCCTAGAGTAGCGGCGTCTCTAGGGGAACCTATGTTACTAAGGGGACCAGAAGAGGGGAGTCCTTCTGGGAGGACAATAGGTCAGATGGTACGATGGCACCATCCTGGAGAGATCCGGACCTATTTCCAAGGGTGGCCATAGCACTTACTGTGGGGCAACGTGCAGCCTAGGTTGCACTTCCCTGCCACGATTGTGTGAGCCCACTGCTAGCCCGATCGAGACGGGGAGGGGGTGAACACAATCACCCAACAGGAAAGAAAAGCAAAGCAGACCTCCATAGTAGAAGGAGGTGTGCCACCCACAGTGAGATACAATGAATGATACATAGTTCTCAATGAATAATACTAACTAGATTCACGACGTTAGAAATCAATAGATAATGGAATTAACTTAAATGATTGACCCTTTCAACCCAGTTGTGTAAGCAGCATTGAAATTAATGTGAGTATTGCTGCTTGGTAGTCAGCCAGGACAAGAAATCGTGCTATGACAAAAGACATGGAATAAAGCCTGTTGGGAATCAAGGTCTTTCAACCGACTAGTGTTAGTAAATAGGGTAAGCCAGTGGAGAGAATTTGCATGTTGATAATAGGGCTGAAAGGGTCCAAACAGATCTTATAGTGGACCTAAGTTACAACATTAGAATTATCCATGACTAATTTCTTAGGGATAGCTAATAGTGTTTCTTGAGAAGTTCTTATGTAGCGTTCATAACAGTCTGAGCTCCAGCGGCCCAGTATCTTGATAAGCCACGAAGGGACACCAGCTCCGGCTGCAGTGGTAGCTACACCAATGCGGAAACTGTGTGTGAAATAATGATCAGCAGGTAGGCCACAGCCTTGCAGTACAGAACGGAGCTCCTTAGTCAGGGAGGCAAGGGAGAGCCACTTGGCATTGGTGAAGGTAAACAAAGGGCCTACAGCTGGTTTACATTGTAGCAGGTAGTCTTTCATGGCAATCAGAGAACAGATAGAGGTGGTGGACCTTGCTATGGTTAAGGTACAGTCTTTGCGAAAGGGGTCAGTTTTGGATTGCTTAATGGTAACAAGCATGTGGTTGGGGGATTCAATGTTAGGGATAAAGGTAATATCCCTTAGACAAAGATGGACAGTAGGGTCAAAACTACTGCTATTACAGGTAAATTCACTTGCACGTAGAAAACCAAAAAGCTAGGGTGAACGCAGCTCACAGCATTATGTGGTCTACATTGTAACTTTAGGGAGGCTGCAAATAATTGTAAATTGAAACCAAAATTTGAATAGTTATGGGGTGGCGAGTTAATTTGGGAGGCATTTGGGACCGTTTAATGCCAGTGAGGACCTTTTGCAGGCGATACATTTTTGATAATTTTAATGGAAAGTTATCTTGCCTATGGAGATCTTGAACTGCAAACAGGTAAAGTTTGATTGTATTGTAGCATATGGCTTTGGCCAGGTGGGCAGCGAAATAAATTAAGGTGATTTCGGATGCCGGGAGAAGAGGGGAAGAGGGACCAATGATACCCTGTAAGAGGCAAAAGGAAATAAAGTGATTCTGGCCGACACCATAGGCTCGACGGGTATTAGAGGCCAGCGAGGCACCAAAGTAGTGGTAGACGGATGCTGTTAAATGGCCATTGCTGATGGAGGGATGATGCAGGAGGTGGGTGAGGCATTGGGAGCCAGAGAGTGGAAGCGATCCATCTGAAAACGGGACAGAGAGTCAGCTATAGAGTTGTCCAGCCCTGGGATATGTTTGGCAGTGAAGGTAAAGTTATGTACTAGGGTCAAAATGGTAATGGAGCGGACCAGATCCATGATCC